CCCCCTCTATTTTGATGCTCATGGTACGCTTGCTTTGCAGCGAAGTTTTTATAGAGAGAGCAATTAACAGCACAGCGGCCATTATAGTTCATGATCTGCTACATTACAATGATGGTCTGCGTGTGGGCTTTCATGGTCTATAGAAACGGTCCAATGTTCGAAACAGCGACGGGAAATGTTCTTTGCTAAAACAAAAAAAATTCTCCTTTCACCTCCTTTTCTGCTCTGTAACCATGTTCTGTCGTCTGCTTTTGTCTCCACTTTCGCCTCCTCCTCTGGGCTCCTGACTCTTTCTGCTGCCTTTCTACTGCTACCCCTTGGCTCCTTCTTATTGCTGTCTTTCAGCAACACCCGGCTGATCTAAGGGTAGATAAAATCAAACACCAAGCCTTCTCGGGTAAGTGCGAAAAAATCTCTGAGGTCCTGTGTGCAACAAAAATTGACACGAGTAGTCTTTGACCGCCACCCGGGCAAGATTCAAAATTAATTCCTACCAAACTGAAAATGCTGATGTGCCCTGCGCGCTCATATGACCTCATGCTGTTCCGAGCGCAGTTTAAAAAAAAGAATAAAAGAAGAAGCTTACAGGAAAAACGTCTGCGTTTTCGAGGTGCAATGATCTGTGAACATTGTCCGGGAATAAGGTTTCGGATTGTCTTGGGACCCGTCATAATAATTATCTTGAAGATGTTCCGTGTTTCAAAGGCAAAAAATAACGTACGAATACAATTCCTGTGTTGTTCACGGGGTTCTTTTTAAAGAGGACTTGTCCGTCCATAATTGAGATCGACGCTTTTTTAATCAAACAAATACAATGTACCTTTGTTCACAAGGTTTTTTTTCTAAAGAGGGCATTGTCTGTCATCCACTAGATATTATTGAGACGGAAGCCTCCAAAGCAGCTTCATTATAATACATTGTATTATTATTATTATGGTAAGACTAGCATCTGTCCGGTTCTGAACTCGGTACACGGTCGAAAAGTCGGGAACACGGGAACGGATACGACGACGCTTTGATCTTAGCCGAAAGGCCTAGAAACGATCGCGGGGTTCTTATTTCATACAATATCTTACGCTGTTCAGAGTGAGGCTCTAGAGAACCGTTCTGTTTATTATGCTAAAGAAAGAAAGAAAGATATAAGCGAAGTTTCTTACCATCTAGCTAGTATAACGGTACTGACCGTCAGAATAAACACCAATGTGCATTTGCTATTTTATGTGTATCTATATATATATAACTTTGCAGGTCATAAATCCCGGTATGTGGTTGAATGATGCATCTGATGAATATAAATAT